TTCTAGGAGGATCAAATGAGCAAGGATGAAAGCAGCGAAGACACTGCTTAGAGCTATGGGATTGTTCTTGAAAATATCCGTGTATTCTGATATTTTAGAAATTCTTTAATTTGAATATTGATTACTTTTGGGAGTTATGTATGCTTTTTAATTGTTAGACAATGTTAGAAATTTTACTTCTATAAAAGTCTCAAATGTAAATAGCTTTCATAAATTGTTGTAATGGCCTCAACAAACCGTTGCGATAGCTTCAATATATTGTTGCAATAGCTTCAACAAGTCGTTGCAATAGATTCAATTAGCCGTTGCCATATCTCCTAATGGTTATTGCAATATGTAATTCAAACCGTTGCAATAGCATAAAAACCGTTACATAAAGTGATATTGCCACGACTTTGAACCGTTCCACTTATTTAAACAAGCGTTGCAATAGATAGTTCTATATCAACGGTTCAAAACAGTTGCAATAGATATACATATAGCAACGACTTACAACCGTTACAGAAATTGTTGCAATAGACCTATTGGCACGCGACCTGATGAAACGGTCCCTAAACCGTTGCAGTAGACCTATTGCAACGGTTTTCTTCGCTATTTCAACGATTTCTGAACCGTTGCCATAGCCCTATTTTTTAGTAGTGACTATTTGTATACGGTCAAAATCATATGCCTTCGATATATAGGCTCAAGGGGTCATCTTAAGCCTGAGTTCAGGCAAGGTCGAGTTCGAGCCCGATGGATCAGACTCGAACTCAAAAATAGGATGCAATGCCCGAGGATCGAAGTACGATGAATATCGAAGCCGAGTATGCTCGACCCCGAAATAATGCCGTTACGGATCTTTAACAGAATGAGCGAGATTCCTGACACGTCCCCAAAATCATGGCGTAAATCCCGGAATAGAATTGTACGATTCCGTACTAGGCGGTTAGACAGCTGTCATAATAAGATTCCTTACTGTAAATAGAAATGTACCTTATTTAGGGTTCCCCTATTATATAAAGGGGACCCCAATCATTTGTAAAGATCATCTAATCATTGGCAAAGAATATACAACTGACTTTTCTGGCTCATTGTTCATCAGACTTGTCTTTTCTCTTTACTATTCTTACTTTATCGTTCTTGGTTCATCTCGAGGTCACTAAGCTCGAGGACGATATTGTTTGGTAACACTGGTTTGATTCATTCATTTCTTTCATCAATACTTTATACTTCTTGATTATTAATTGGTATTGAACTAAATCACATATCTTTAAAACCACAAATCAAATTTAATTGTTACTCGTATTTTCGAGGTAAACAAGTTTCTTTCTCCTCCACTGGATCGTTATGGTCGCTTTATCCAAGAGGGAGGATGTGCTAAAGCCATAGGAGTAAGCTCTCATAAATAAGGTCATCTGTATAAAAAGAAGATTTTTTATAGAAAATTCTCTTTATTCCCACCTCAAGCTCGGTCATCATATGTCCTTCTCAATTGATTAGACTATGGCTTTCATCTTCTTAGATTACTCATTCCAGCAAAAGGAATAGATTGTTATAACATCCTGTGTTTCAGAATGATTTTATAATTTATCTCTATTTTTAAGGTGTGCAGTGTTGTAGTGCAAATTCCAGACATGAAGGTCTGAAGGTCGCCTATTACAGTGCAAACATCAGACACTAGGGTTTGAACTTCGCCCAAAAGCAGTAAATTTCAGGCATCGGGAACTAAAGCTTGCCCTGAGATAGTGTTTAAGACATGAGAGTCTAAAGTGCGCCCTGAGGCAGTGCAAAATTCAGATATCCGTGTCCAAAGTCTGGCTAAGGCAGTGCAAACTTCATACAGAGTCACTCTAAAGTTTGCCTGAGGTAGTGCGAACTTCAGACATCGATCGAGGTCTAAATAAAGTGAAACCTAAATTTGCCTGAGGTTGTACAAACTTCATATTTCGGCATTTGAAGTTTGCATGAGGTAGTGCAAACTTCAGACATCGAGGTCTAAAGTGAAGCATGAAATTTGCCTGAGATTATACAAACTTCAGATATCGGTGTCTGAAGTTCACCTAAGATAGTGCAAACCTCAGGCATGGACGTCTGATAAATAATGTGTTTTTTGAGACATTGCATTTCTTTACAATGCCCACTTCAGAAGAGCACTAATTACCAAACTTGAATCCCATGCCAATTACAATACATGATCGCCAATTCAAGTAAAAACTAAAACAACTCAAGTTGTTATGAGAATTTCCACACACGCTTCTTCTCATTGCTGTAGGTTAGTATTTATAGTACAAAGGCTATACTGTTAGGATGAGATGAGATCCCATGTTATTAGGAATTACATTACAACAGAAATAGATTCAATCAAATCTGAGTTGATTGTGATGAGGCTTTATCCGTATTATCCTCTATACGCCCCCGCAAGATCGGCTCTACTGGACGGAGACCGATCTTGGAAATAAAGTCAGTGAACAACTTCTTTGACAGGGGCTTAGTAAGAGCATCGGCAAGCTGTGCAACAGATGAGATATGGCTCACTTGAATGTCTTTCTTTTCAACTTGATCACAAACGAAGTGGAAGTCTATAGCGACATGTTTCATGCGACTATGGAATACAGGATTCTTGCACAGATAGGTGACGCCGATATTATCACAGAGAACCAATGGGGTGTGGGGAAGAGGAAGATGAAGCTCACGTTGAAGGTTGACAAGCCAATTTATTTCAGCTACAGCAGCTGCAACTGCACGATACTCTGCCTCAGTAGAGGATCGTGTGACTGTACGTTGCTTCTTAGAACTCCAGCTAATAGGATTGCAACCATGGAGGATAATATAAGCTGAAGTTGCAGCACGAGAGATAGGGTCCCCACCCCAATCAGCGTCAGCATATGCAACAAGCTTTGTTGAAGTTGACGGTCGAAGATGTAAGCCATAGGTGATAGTATGTTTGAGATAGCGAAGAAGACGCTTTGCTGCTTGCCAGTGTTTCATGGACGGGCAGTGCATGAACTGAGCTAAACGATTGACAGCGAATGAGATATCTGGCCGAGTGTTTGTGAGGTATTGCAGAGCACCAACAACTTGACGGTATTCTTTTGCATTGGCAGCAGGAGAACCATCATTGAGAGTGAGAGGTTCCGCGGTGGACATTGGGGTGGCAACACCTTTAGCTTCAAGCATGTTGAAGCGACTTAGATCATCAGCAATCAGCTTACTTTGAGTGAGAAGTAGGCCATCATTAAATGGAATAACTTCAATATTCAGGAGGAAGTGAAGATGCCCAAGGTCCTTGAGAGAGAATCTGCTTCCAAGTGAATTCACAACTGAGCGAATGTGATCTTTTGAAGAACCAGTGACAATGATGTCGTCAATGTAAATTAACACAAAGACCAGAACATTAGAGGATTGATAAATGAACAGAGAAGTGTCGGAGTACGCCCTCTTGAAACCACAAGAAAGGAGGAACTGCATAAGAGCATTATACCAGGCACGAGGAGCTTGGCGAAGTCCATAAATTGGCTTGTGAAGGCGACATACATGGTTTGGATGCAGAGGATCAACAAGTCCTGGTGGTTGCTGCATGAACACAGTTTCCTCTAGAGTTCCTTGCAAAAATGCATTGTTCACGTCGAGTTGGTGCAGAGGCCATTTGTAAGTCACAGCTAGAGAAAGAATAAGTCTAATAGTAGTATGTTTAATTACCGAACTGAAAGTTGCATGAAAGTCAATTCCTGGGCGTTGGTGAAAACCTTTAGCTACAAGACGAGCCTTGTAGCGTTCAATGGAACCATCAGGTTTATGTTTAATGCGAAACACCCATTTACAACCTATAATATTCTGAGCAGAAGTAGATGGTACAAGAGACCAAGTTCTATTTCTCATAAGAGCAGCATACTCATCATTCATTGCTTCACACCACTTGGGATACTTTTGTGCTTGTTTGAAGGTGTTAGGAGTTAAGGGTACTGGAGAAGAGGATTTTGTGCCAAGATAATTAAATACCTTCTTGGGTTTGAAAATATTATTTCGGGATCTAGTGATAATATGTCGCGCAGGAGGAGCTGATGGGGTTTGAGAATTTGGGCAGATAGTTGGTGATGAAGCCAAGGTATGAGAAGTAGAGCTTAAAGAGGGAGATGGAGAAGAATGTACCTGATCTTGAGGAGATGCGGTGGCAGCACTGTCCGTGGAGGTTGAAGAAGTCCCTGTATGAGTGACCTGAGTAACTGGAGGAAAGGGGATGGACGATTCAACTGGGATACTAGTGGAGGTTGGAGGAATAGGTGATGGAGCCGAGGGACATAACCATGTAGTTATTAATGCGGGAGAGACACGGGTTAGATCAGTATGCATGGAGACAAATGGAAAAATGTGCTCAACAAACACTACATGGCGTGATATGAAGATTTTGTTGGTGGTTGGATCAAGACAGGCATAACTATTCGTAGACGATAAGTAGCCCATGAACACACAAGGACGGCTTTTTGAGTCAAGTTTGTGCTTTGAATAAGGTCATAACCAAGGGTAGCATAGACAACCAAATACTTTTAACTTCTGAGGGTTAGGAGAATGGTGAAACAAAGTCTGAAAGGGAGATTTTCTTTTGAGGAGGGGAGTTGGTAATCTATTTATAAGTACACAGCTGTTTGGACAGCAAGCGACCAAAACTTGACAGGGATAGAAGCATGGTGAAGAATAGTAAGTGTTGTTTCAAGAACATGATGATGCTTGCGTTCTGCTGTACCGACAAGCTGAGGTGTGTATGGAGGACTCGAGATGTTGAATGCCAGAGTTTTGAAGGAAGGATTTGAGACCAAGATATTCACCACCTCCATCAGTATACAAGGTACCAATTGTGGTGGAGAAATAATTCTCAACTAGTTTCTTGAAATTGATAAATATTTGTGTAACATCAGATTTGTGTTTAATGGGAAATAACCATGTATATTGTAAAGTGGTCAACAAATAGAACATAAAATCGAAAATTATCAAAGGAAGTGATGGGAGCTGGTCCCCAAACATCAGAGTAAATTATTTCAAAGGCTCTATGGCTTCTAACAGAGGATTCACCAAAAGGAAGTTGGTGACTTTTATCACACGGACATCAATTGCAAAATATAAATGTTTGATTCAAAGCTACTGGGAGACCAAAATGAGAAATAAAAGTCTTGGTTATTCATGGTTGAGGGTGACCAAGCCTTGCATGCCATAAGTGTAGATCCGGTCGCGGCGAGACAGCAAAATGGGCTTGTGGTGAGGCAGTAGTGGACTTGATTGGAAACTTGGTGGCTGGCCACTCATAGAGATCATTCTTACTCCTTCTGCGAAGCAGTATCGCGCCCGTGCTAAAATCCTTTACAAGATAAGAATAAGGAAAAAATTCAAAAGAAGTTAGATTTTGGCGACAAAATTGAGCTACTGAAAGTAAATTACGTTTTAACTTTGGTGAGCACAAAACATGTTCAAGTGTGAAAGGACGAACGGATGAAGTAGAATGAAGAGTAGTTTGCCCAATATGTGAAATAGGAATAATGTTACCATCTCCGATGACTATGTCATCACTGCCTGAAAATTTTGTTGCAGAAGTAAGATTCCCAAGGTTGTCTGTCATGTGATGAGATGCGCCAGAGTCAATGATCCAAGAATTATCATTATTGTTGTAGGAGCGAGATGCCATATTTGCCTGGGCTTCATATTTGTTGTGTGACTGAGAGTGACAAACTTTGGCGATGTGATCATACTTGTCACATAGTTGACACTGAACGTGTTGTCGTGATCCAAATGATTTGGAGGATTGATTTTGGCCAGTAAAGTTCCTACCATTAGAGGTATGGCTTGAATTTGGAACTCCTTGGTTGCGTCGCTGTGGGTTTTGATTCCCAACATTATTGTAGTTTCGTCGCTGAGAAATTTGGGCGTTTGAAACACGCTGGTTGAATTGGGCTGTGATAACTAGAGCAGCAGCTTTGGGCTCTGAATATTGAACAAAGACTTCATGAGCGAGAAGTTTATCATATAGTTCCTCAAAAGATATAGGATTGTCGCGAGCACGAATAGCTGCTGAAATTTCCTTAAACTCGGGTCCAAGACCACTAAGTACTTTGATAACGAGTTCTTCATTGGTTAATGGGGATCCACTAGAGGCAAGATCATCTGCAATAGTTTTGATTTCCTTCATGTAGTCAGCAACTGGTCGAGCTTCTTTTCGCAGATTGGCAAGAATCTCACGAAGGCCAAAAATTCTGGATTGTGATTTGCTGGCAAAAGTTGTCGTCTCCCATGCATGTTTCGTCGTCACTGCGTGCGCTATCATTGAAGCAATAGAGTGATCAACAGATTCCATAATAGCATTGCGTACCAAACTGTCTTGGCGCTGCCATAGTTTATAGTTGGGATTAACAAGCTGCTGATGAATTGAGTAGGACACTCTGAAGATCCATCAATATAGCCAATTAAGTCATAACCGAAGAGCAAGGTTGTGACTTGGGCTTTCCATGTGGAGTAATTGGTGCTTCCAGTTAACTTAAGCGATAGTTGGGATGCTGGGTTGAAGGAGACTAGGTTGGATAACTGAACAAACTAGTGAGGGAGATGTTGAGTTGTTTGTTGTAGAAGATGAGTTGATTTGAGTTTCTGAAACCATAACTCGTTGGAGTTTGTTATGCTTCTGATACCATAAAACAACTCAAGTTGTTATGAGAATTTCCACACACGCTTCTTCTCATTGCGCTAGGTTAGTATTTATAGTACAAAGGTTATACTGTTAGGATGAGATGAGATCCCATGTTATTAGGGATTACATTACAACAGAAATAGATTCAATCAAATCTGAGTTGATTGTGATGAGGCCTTATCCGTATTATCCTCTTTAAAAATAATCATTTACCTTGTTAAATAAGTTAAACTCCATATTGAGATAAAAGGGTTAATGATTGCCATAATTGGATAAATATTTTTCTGAAAACCAACAAATGCCAACCAACAAAAAGAGTAAGAACGATAAACTGAAGTTGAAATACGAGTTCATCTAATTCCATTAAAAATAAAGAGAAATTTTTTCTCCTGATATATTATACGAAGGATTTGCATTGATTTTGGCATAATACTGGAGTCATGGGATGATCAGGGATATCTTAATTGTGAGAGGACTCTTGAAAACTCGAACGGAAGATAAATTCAAGCTTGGGAAACCAGTCAAGATAATGGTAAAACCATAGCAAAATCTTGCTACAATCTGAGATGAGCTTAATTTATAGACAATAAGAATTCATACAGTCGACTTTAACTTACTCGGGATTGTGACGCAGTAATTGTTGTTTTTTATATTTGGAGGGCTAGTGAATGGCACTAGAGGAGGCTGGTTGATTGATATTGATCAGTTGCGAAGGAACCTTTATTAATCTTTGGTGATTTATATTTTTGAACAAGATTTAGTTGGGAGGCATTGATTAAATGAAGCAGCTTTATGTCTCAGTAGATAGGCCAGTCATATAAAGTAGGAAAAGTTACCTCCTATAGCAACATTTACACCTTATTTATTATAAATAAATACCTTTTATAAAATTATATTTTATAGCTACCTTTTAGGTTTTATAGCAAATTATATATTTATGGTCATTTCCTACTATTAAGCCATTAAATACGCTGTGAAATATTTTTCTCTCTCTCCCAATAACACCAGAATTGTATACAATTTTGTTAAACCCACGTTCTCTCTCCACTATCTCTCTCCCAACGTAGTATCTTCCCCACGAATACAACCACCATTATCAACTGATTCATCTCCATCTCTCCCTCAAGTTTCAAACAAATTAGAATACCTTCTTTCTTCGACTGATTCATCTTCGACTGATTTTCAAACAAATACCTTCATTCTTTTTTCTTTCACCAGATTAGAATATGTACACAGCATTTTTTTTACTATTAAAAGGATATGAAGAAACGAACTGACAGGTTTTTAGTGTTACAAAGAAGCAAAAATCAGAACCAGGAAAGATTCATGCCACCGATGATAGATGAACAAATTCATACCATAGATGATATAAGAGATCGTTCCCTTGCATCAACAAGAGTCACTGATAGTTCTCCAGCAAAGTCTCTGTTTCCTTCTGATTTTGACCGGACTTAAAAAATATGAATTATTTCTACAGTTGTATTCATATGTATTCAGCGTATTGTATATATGTATTCAAATATATCTGCAGTATGTATTCATATGTATTCTACTGTATATTAAGCATTATGTATTCATATATATTCAGGAGATTGTACTGTATGTGCTCTACCTTTTGGTATTCATATGTATTCAAATATATTCAGATTGTACTATATATATACTGCATTTTGTATTCATATGTATTCAAATATATTCAGATTGTATTGTATGTGTAATGCATTTTGTATTCATATGTATTCAGTAGATTGTAATTATGTATTCAGATATAACTGCACCTGTGTGTATTCATATTTATTCAAAATATAAATGCAGTATGTATTCAGCAGTTTACTAAATTATATGTTTACTAACTGTTCTAAAAGGAAATCATCACGCACCAATAGAACTTCCACGAACGATAGCAACAAAAAAATGAGGGATTGAAACTCTAGAGTTTCCTCTGTTTTGTGGTTTTTTCAACTGGGAAATCTTTTCTATAATGGGAAATACGCGTGTTATAATTGAGTTAGTTGAGTTATATTAGGAGTCTAATGGATTCACTTACCGTTTTTAAACAGCTGAAAAGACCATTTTTTACGCAATTTACGTTATTGTATTCACGAATACAACTCGCAAATACAGTCGAATACAATCGTTGTTTGGCTGGACTCCCCTGTTTCACGCCAAGTTTTGCTACTGTATTCATGAATACAATAGCTCAAATATATCGAATACACTCTATAACAGCTAAAACACAGCTATAGGAAGTAATTTAGTAAATGGTAGTTATAACTAGCGAATAACCACTAAACAATAGTGGTCTGTGAAAATTTCTCTATAAAGTATCTATTCTTCTAGGAGTATTATTTGTAATTTTAGTTTCTAGTGGTAAAATTATAATGATATTAAAAGAAAAGTAGGTATCGTCTTTCCACACTTTCTTCTTGACATGAATTGTGTCTGATCTAATGCTAAAATATTCGGAACTAGCAGTAAGGAGAGTGGGGGTAGGGAGAACTGTGTGTCATGTATTGTTTGTTGCAAGCTGCTTTTTTGCGAAACGAATTATTTTCAACTAGTGATATAATTAATTGGTATTGTGATCACTAGACATGAATGGCTAATGGTGTTGTGAACTTGTGATATATCTAGTTGGTATTGTGACCACTAGACATGAATGGCTAATGCTGTTGGTGCTTTAATTTTATCATCTATTGTATGTATGAATGAATAATGGTGTTGGTACTTTAGTTTTACCATATATTCGTTGGATTTATAACGACTAATGGAGTTGTCAATGTTCATATTGTAGGAAGATCTCTTGCCATTTATGACACATTGCAAAAGAACGAAGCTAAAGTTTATATTGGCAGAAAAAGTAGCAGAAGAGCAAATGATGGCGATGGAGTTGTTATCTTAGTGAAATATTTTAGTTTGACTTAGGTTAGTAGTTGGAAGGCAATACTTGTAATATTTGAAATAATGTGATCAATTTGCCAAGATGGTTGGCTATTTTGTGTTTCATTTGGTAATGAATTTGTTATTACAATCGGCTATTTAAATTTTATGTCATTTTTGTCTAGCTTCAACTTTCTGCACACACATAAGACCCAAAAACCATTCTCTCCAACACTAGGAACAATATAATATCACCAAACTACAAGAATTAGAAAATAGGTGGAACAAGAAATTGCAGTGGTTTACTTTGACCTCTGGAAATAACTTCAATATCTAGTCAATGTTATCGAGTCTCCGCCATCGAAGTTTACTCTGACATTGATCATTAGGGCCTCGTGTATATGTTCTTCCATTTCTCTTTAGAGATCATGAAACGATTTCTTCATCCCTCCAACGAAAATATTTTCATCATCTCAATTCAATTCCTACAGCTATAAAGACCAAATGTCACCTTGGCATATTGCTTGTGTAGTTCGAACTTCAGATATTTCGGACTGAAGTTAACCTTGACATATTGCTTTGTGCAGTTCCAACTTCAGATATTTCAAACTGAAGTTAACCTCGGCATATTGCTTTCAGACATTTCGAACTGAAATTAACTTCGACATATTGCTTGTGCAATTCGAACCTCGGCATATTTCTTGTGTATAAAACTCACAAAAGAAATTTTCCNGCGGAGTTGGGAATTTATATAAATTGAAAAATAAATAAATAACCATAACAATAATAATAATAGTTATGCTTCAGCCCCCAATTTACATTTGGGGTCGTCTATTTTTCAGTATTTTTTTTCTAACTAAATGCTATCAAAGGCAACTTTATTCAGTTTCCTGGAAAGCTGAAAAAGTGAAAATTTCAACTAATAGTGTGTGAAGGTTTGGAAAAAGATTTTTTATTCGGAAATTTTCCATTCAAAGTTAAATTTCCGGGAACAAATGCGAACCACTACAAAGTTAGTCCTACGTAGGGTTGTAATTAAGGAAATTTTACCTCCTATAGCAATGCTTTATACCCTATTTATTATAAATAAAAATCTTTTTAATATATTATTTTCTATAGGTACCTTTTAATTTTTATATCAAAATATGTATTTATGATTATTTCCTACCATTAAGCCATTAAACATTCTCTTTAATATTTTTCTCTCTCATTCTTTATATAAAACTACCTCCTTATTAAACCCTAGCGTATATGTTTTTTCAAACTGATCAAACTAATTTTCTTCATCTTGTGTAGAATCTCAATACTGAACTTGAAAACTGCCAATGTGGATGTAAGAAATCCAGTCAATAACAGCGCATAAAAAATAGGAGGAAGCATTAGCTGAAGATTCACCTAAAGACTTTTTGTCACCATTATTGCCTCGCAGAAGAATTCCAAATCTGTACATATGGAAAAAAAATTTCTACTAGCTTTTTTAAAGTTGAAAGTGAATCCTCTAGGTCATTTTTTTCCCCTTGAAGTCTAATTCAAGATGACATCGCAAAGTTGGTTCTGGGAGCAGGGGAGGCAGTACTTTTTGATTTTCTTTGCCCCCGTGCAGCCGGTTGATGTTGATACCCAATTTTTTTTTATATATTTTAAATATGCATGACTACCTTCAAAATAGCAAAATATGCATATATAAGCATGTCCAATGTTTCTATTATTTTTTCCATAATTTTAAGGGATTAAATTGACGTACTTTCTCTCTTTTTATACATAAAATTCCCAATAATTGTTTACAAAAT